CTTCTCTTTGTCATGATGACGGCACATAATATTAGACTAGATATTCTTCAAGACACTAGTGTTCAGCTTACAGTGACATGTAAAGGCTTCACTAGGGTAATTAGGGTAAAGTTAGGGGAATTAGGCAAGTCATTGTATAACAGTGGTTTGTTTTGGACACAGTCAAATAAATCATTTATTAAGTAGAATATTATTAATTGACTTTAAATTCTATAAAATTAATATGCTTTTATTATTATAATTTTTTTATTTTTTATACTTTTGTTTTTTTATTCGTTTTAACATAACAGAACAAACAGATCACCAGAGGCATCACATACAACGATTATATTCTTCTTATACAGTTGTTTTTATAGTACAGGTTACTCTCCCATTAGCCTCCCACCCCAACCCGCCCGCAAAAAGCACTGTATTATAAGCATAAACACCAACATAGTTTCCTTCAAGTCCATATGATTCAGTCTTTTACAATCTGTAATGTGCGTCGTGATTAATCATGTCCAAAATAAAAGTTTGTTTGTTTGTACACACATACATGTATGCACAACAGTTGTCACATAGACATTTCAATTTATTTATGATTTGTGTCACATACGTAAATATTTTGTATCTAAATATAAATAAACATTTTCTCAAATATATATATACACAAGTAAAGCATCCTCCTCTTGTCTCTGCTTGTCGTTGTATGTGGGCGGAGTAATACACAAGGGTGAAGGGTGAGGAGGCTGGTCCAGTGCTGTTATTGCAGATTATCACACTTACCAGCCAATCAGATTCAAGAACCAGACAGATTATAATAAATATATGTATAATCTACACAGCGCACACACATATTTGAGGTTTTATTTTGGATGTGAATATTCGTGATGAGTTTTTGCCCAGCACTATGGTGTATATATCATCATTATTATCATATAGAAATAATGTTAATACAGTAATCTATAGAAATAATATTAATATATTATAATGAGTAAATATATAATAATAACAAAAAAATAGACATGTTAAAAAACTAATAATAATGACTAAAATACAGCAAAAAAAGTAAATGAAAGAGAAACTCTGAAAATGAAAGTGAACTGAAACTGTACTGGCGTCTGTACACTGAGGAGTGTTGTTGTGTTCGTAGGCCTGATTCTGGTTTAGGAGACAGTTGTGCGCTAGAATACAGCCTTCATGCAGATGCAGAGATAGAAACAGGCCTGATTTCTTCTGCATCCGTCGTATCCCAGCATTCCTCCGCACACATGGTATCCCAGCATGCATGTGCAGAAACACAGACAGTAGAGCAGGCAGATGTAGAGCAGGATCAGCAGTGTTTACAGATGCAGGACAGTGCTGCAGAGCTGGACATCATGGCTGTGATCGACTATGACGAAGCGTCGGGCACTCCTGTGTGTGTGATCGATCTCGACTTCAGCCCCAGGATCCCTCGGTAGGGAACACTTGCTTAAAGAGGAAGTGAAGCAGTCAGTCATGTTCAGTGTTTTCTAATTGATTTCCACTTTAATGAAACGCATATATGTAGAGTTGCAGTCAGAATTATTCTTTTATTCTTTTAATTATTCTCCAAATATTTCCCAAATGATGTTGAACAGATTCAGGAAATGTTCACTGTGTTTCCTCTAATATTTGTTCTTCTGGAGAAAGTCTTATTTGTTTTATTTAGGCTAGAATGAAAGCAGTTTTTAATTTGTTTTAAAGTCATGTTAAGCTCAATATTATTCACCCCTTCAGCAATATTAGTGTTGGATTGTCTCCAGAACAAACCACTGTTATACAATGACTTGCCTAATTACCCTAACTTTACCCTAATTACCCTAGTGAAGCCTTTACATGTCACTGTAAGCTGAACACTAGTGTCTTGAAGAATATCTAGTCTAATATTATGTGCTGTCATCATGACGAAGAGAAAAGAAATTATCTATTAGAGATGAGTTATTATAACTGTTATGTGCAGAAATGTGTTGAAGTAATCTGCTCTCTGTCAAACAGAAATTCGGAAAAAAATAAATAATTTAATAATAATAATATAATTTTATAATAATTTTGACTTCACCTGTGTATGTGTGTGTGTGTGTGTATGTGTGTGTGTGTGTGTATATATATATATATATATATTAGGGCTGTGCAATTAATCGAAAATCTGATTTCAATTTTGGCTTCTAGAGATTATGAAAAATCATTATTGAGATAAACGATTATTGCATCATATACAGCCCCTTTCCACAATTGTTGCTCTTAAAAGCGCGAAAGACTGCGTGCTTCTGTGTGTATGTGTGTGTGTGCGGTCAGCATTCGGTCTCATTCGCACACTGAGACGAGCAGAGCGCACACATCTAAAGTCATTAACGTGAGCGCTTTAATGGTCAAATATGTGTCAACGTGGTGTTAATGATTATTCATATTAACTCTTATTTCTGTAATAAACAAATGAGCTGAGAATCAAAAGACATGTGAAAGAGAAACCATTAAAGTGACCGCGCGCAATATTCCTGCTGCCGCCTGTTTTCATCATTATTAATCAAACAATAAAAGGAAAGAAATCCCTCTCTGCTCTAGACTGAAGGACTTTTGTAGCTTAAGTGTTTTACTTACAGTGAAGATGCTTAAAGCACAGTCAGTTTTTATATTTTATTATATTCTATTAATTTCTCGTGCCTTTGCAGGGTGGAAATTAACTATATATATATGCAGTTAAAGTCACAATTATTAGCTCTCCTGAATATTAGCAACCTCTTTCCTCCCCAATTTCTGTTTAATGGAAATAATTTTTTTTCAACTTGTTTCTAAACTTAATAGTTTTAATAACTCATGATTAACTGATTTATTTTATCTTTGCTATGATGACAGTATATAATTTTTGACTTGATATTTTTCAGTATACAAGCATTCAGATTCAAAGTGCAATTCAAAAGCTTAATTGAGGTAATTAGGCAAGTCATTGTATAACAGTAGATTCTTCTGCAGACAATCAATAAATATATAGCTTAAGGG